GGGTAAGGCACAATGAGTATAAAGACTTGATTATTTCATTTAGTTTAACTGCCTGTCCTGATGCCCCCTCCCAAGCAAGCATGCAATTAATTTTATACTTTAATAGGAGGGGATCATTAGAGAACTTTTTGTCTCATCAAGTTGTTATTAATTCTAGCTGCTCCAAGGATTACATAGAAAGCAAAAACAGTCTGTGAATTTTCGGTATCACCAGCACATTTGGTCAAATAGCAATCTCTAACTATTTGACCAACTCACCTGAATTTAATTACTACTGTCTCTAAAAAAAACCCCAATAAAACAACAAACAAACAAAAACACACTAAAAACACACCCCTCTTCTAATGGGAATATAACTACCATATCAAGGGCATGAAGAGAGTTTCAATAAAAAGTGCCAAAACAAGACTTAAGAGATGTCAACCACTCAGCACATGACCTTGAAAAAGCTTCCTAATATTTCAGTTACAGGAAGAAAAGCCCTTGTGCTACTGAATTATAATCAAATGCTTTAAATGGTAGCATTTTCACCCCTCAGACTTTTAACCAAAAAAAAAAAAAAAGTGACAACTTTCTAAGTGGGGGCTTCCTGCTTAGCAGCAGTAAGCATGTAAGCATGAACAATTCAAATTGTATTCATTGTTTTCCAAAGCCTGATGGGGATGATACTGTGTGCACCATTTTGAGGAGTGATCCATTTTTGAGGATGCTGCTTTAGAGAAGCATCAAGTATCCTGCAGTTAAGACAATGTAAGAATATGTAGTTTTCTACTATTGTACAAATGCTCTCCAAGTACCTGATTCTAAGATACATGTAGCTCCTATGAAAAAGTGTAACTACATCAACTTCAAAGCAGTGTCACATTTTATATCAGTTATTTGCCTATATTTCTAAAACACTAATAAAGCCTTAAAAACATGGAAAGAAATTATAGCTATCTTATTAGCAAGACAGTGAATACATCCTTTTTCTAAAGCAATCTAAAGCCATTATGAGCTAATGTACTCTCTGGGGCATAGTTTGACACCATACAAATATTAGGGCCAAAATGCCAATTCATTTTAGGCTCGAGCCTACCCCAGTTTAAAGCAGCCTTTGTAATGAAAATTGACCGTAAACTTGCCTGACTCTCTGCACATGAATAATATGGGCTAACACAAATGTTAGACTTAAACCATGAGAAACATAAAGTTATCAACACTTTTTATAATCATGCAATAAACAAGATGCAGATTATTTTTATTTTTTAATTAAAACTTTAGCTATACAACATATTTCTAACACAAAGGTGGGTTGTCTTATAATTGTTTGGTATCTCAGGAAAGTCAGCTTGTTTTATCATTGCTAGTAGACTTGTCTTTCTGCTGGACACAAGACAGATAAAACACAATATGAATCTGCATCGAAGTAAATATGGAATTTTGGATATACAGAATTTGGCATGTTATTCCAAGTAACCCTTCAGACAGAACATAACTTTTGCACACTCCACGGCCTTCTCTGAAGTAAAAATTCATCTTTCTCATAGGAGATTTCAATGGAAATGGATCCTCCTCAGTAAGAACAGTTTGTGTAAGAGAGCGCAGAGCGCCAGAAAGAGAATGGTAACCTACTGAAAGACCACTTAACATCCTTCCTCTCGTCTCCCCTTTTGCATCAAACCAACTTACTGAACTTCTCCTACACAAATCTGGGAGCCAAAGCAGCTGTGACATGGAAAGCCATTTAAAAAAAGGAAACCCAACTAAAAAAACACCACCACAAACACCTTTTGATAACTGAAGCTTGAACAGAAAGAACAGGTATTTTTGGCAGAATGCCATCCTAGGCTGCTGTTGCGCACTCTTGAGTAATATGTTCTGGCCAAGAAGCATGTTACCTGTCCCCTACTTCAGCTCCCAGCTACTACAAAAGGGGTTTCATCACTTGGAAATAACTTGCATACCTGTCTGAGCTGCCTTCCAGTTGACACAACTGGATAGCTGAAACCATTTTAACAGCATATTTCTCTCTCTGAAGCTTTTAGAAAGATGATCTAGCAATAGAGGCAACATACATATCTATGAAAGCTGTCTTTGAGAGAACATATAACAATTATGTCTGCATGTTCAGAGGGATAAGAAATGACAACCAAACAAATTTCAAATCCTGCAGAAAATAGCCTTGCAGAAAATGCATCCTCTTTGAAGAAAATTCTTCTCTACTTTATAGCCAAGTTTCTGCGCTGCAAACATTAGTTAATCAGAAAGCCTGGAACAAAAATAAATCATTAACATGGAAAATAATAGTGAAGTGAGAACACCCACTTAAAGATCCCATTGTATTAGGCTGCATATCGTGGTACTTACAGCTTGACCACAAATGCGAGGGTGGCCAGCCTTGAACTTTTTTTCCTCCCTTCTTTTCTAAAATTCTCAGTGTTTTGAAGCATCTATAAGGATTTCTTAAAATGACCTGTTTGATTCCTATCTATTACAAGATCCTCCAAGATCTGCAGAATATATAAAGCAATATGTCAAGTGTTACTACAGCAAGACAAAAATAGATAGGTGAAGTCAAGGAATCAAATCCTGCTGCTCGTGACACCACCACCACTGTAAGTCAAGAGCAGCTCCTTGAAAGCCATATCTGACAGAAATAACTGGGTCAGAAAAATTCAAACTTGATTCTCTTGTATGCCACTATCCATTTACTGCAGTTTGAATTCAGGCCTAACAACAGACAACTCAGGACTTACCAAGACGGCGATAGGACAGAGAGCAGCAGCTTTTGCGTGCAGAGTACAAAGGAGTCTTTCTGCCTGGCTACCTTCTAGCCAGTTTACTCTTCCCATAACCTAAGAAATATTACAACCTCCAACAGAAAAAAAAAATCCATTCTGTATATATAGTCTGAAACACCTTTCAGCATATACTGAAACAATGGACAGAAGAGAACCAAGTCCATTCTCTAAAAAAGACTATTTATGTTTTCTTTAATTTTATAAAAAATCCCCAAGTCAACTAAAGTGGCAACAAGTGTTACAGGTTAAAAGAACCAACCAACCAGCTCCTCAAACAAACAAACAAACAGCAAAACAAAAAAAAATAGCAATTTTGAACAACACAGGCCCTTTTGCTCGTTACATAATGATTGTGTAAGGGACAGCCGCATCAAGTATTCTTAAGATTAACAGATACTAAAATATTAAATTCATAGACTGGGTAAACACATACCACGTGTTTATGAATACATGCATGCACAAAAACACACAGTAAAAGCAGTTAACAACATTTTGCAGACTTCCAAATTCTTTTCTTTCTTTAATCTTTGGCTGATGATGGTGAATTGCTCAGACTTTGTTATGTGCAGCTCAAATAACTTTGGATACTTCGAAACAAGTATTACAAGCTTTATCTGCTTAGCCTTTCTGGATAAAAACCCAGCCCTATTAAAATCAAAGACCAACTCCTATTGACTTAAGTGGCTTAATTCACTCTAAAATCCACAGCTCTAATTTTGCCTTCCTTCATACTAATGAAAATCCTAAATAATTGCTCTGAAGTCAGTTCACATTCATAGGATAAAGACAGAAAGAGCACAAGGGCAATTCTATTTTATAGCTTAGCTCCATACTTGTGTGACTGATTAACTCCAGTATCACAAAGAACACCAGTGCCTTTGATTTGTATGTTTATGCAAAAAACTGGAAAATCTGGGATACTGAATTTACCCATGATAAAATGGCATCATGAAAGACTAACTTGGAAGGGTATTCATGTTTTAGAATATGTTATGAATCAAAGAGACTTCTGGAAAGAGTCTTAAGAAGAGAAAGAAAGAGAGGCTCAAATACTGTTCCAAATAGGAGGTTTTAACCAAGAGATAAATTAACTCCTTACGAGACATAAAAATTAATTAATGTCAACTATATAAAAATACAGTTATTCAAAGAAACCCAGAATGCTCTGGCCAAGTGTGCAATGGTCATTGGTGTGCGTATGGTCCATGTTTGCCTCTCTGTGGCACACCTTCCAGGTGCTCTGCTACAGCTCCTGTTTTGGGAGAGTTCACAGTCTCTTTATCTGCTGTGCTACAGCATGGGCAGGGCTCTGGCACCACAGAATTAGTTATTAACTCTCCCCTGCTCACATGGCCCTATGCTGACTTGGAAAATGGCCTTCAATAATTTAATAGTTTGACTCTTTTGAACAATTAGCAAATCCACTAATTAGATGAATTTGTAATTCAGGATAGTATAAACCTGACATTCCTATATACAACTAAAAGGAGCATTCTGCTGCAAGCCAACCTTGGGTTTATACCACATTTTGCTTGTTGAGGGTGGGGGGGAGAGAAAAAACCCCCAACTTTCAAATTTCAAATGTTTTCATACCTAAGTTCTCATTGCAGGATTGTATTCTGGTTAGCACATAGCCTTGTTTTCCTAGGACTAAATGCAATAGCTTTCCTGAACTAGCGTTAATTCAGACAACTAATGCAGTATTAAAATGACTTTTCATTTTTTCCCCATGTTTACATTTTAGAAAATGAATTCTTTAAGAATTTCTCACTAAACAACTGATGATAAAATTAAATGTAAATTATAAAAAAGTTAATTCCCTTTTGCATTTTCATATTTCCAGGCGTATTTTTTTCTCCTAAAAACATATTAAAAATGTCATACACATTTGCATGAGCAACAACCAAAACCACACATCTGTGAAGTTTCAGTATAATGTCATCAAACCTTAGTTTACAATAAGAAAAAGAAATAATAATAAAAAATAAAAATAATCACACCCCAGATTCTGATACACTGCCAGGGTTTAACAGCATTTTAATTCTTCAACACACACAGGCCAAGTGCTGCGACAACCACAAGGCACAGGCCCTGTGTCTCTCACGAGCCGAGATTCCTATGCTGGTTCTCAGCTGCAACAGGTGCAGTAAGATTAACCCCGGCTTGAAAGTCTGCACTAAAGAAAAGTCTGCTCCCAAACCTCCTAAGAAAACACACCCAAAACACCAAACCGCGGCACAACGCCCCGGGGCAGGCGAGGGAAGGGGAGGGCTGCTGTCCCCGCAGAACAGCACCCGTGTCCCAGCACGCCTTGCAGGTCCCATTCAGCAGGAGCACGAAGCTCCACCGGGCAATAAAAGGGCTTTCGGAGGAGCACCGGGCCTGCCCGGCTCGGCACGGGCAGCTCGGCAGGAGGCTTAGCCCGGGCTGCCCCGAGGCGAGCCCGGCTGCGGGCCAAAGGCAGCGCCGAACCTGCCGGGTCGGCCGGCCAGCCGGGCCCCGCGGTGACCCCCGCCCGCTCACAACGCCCACTGACAGGGAGGCGGGTTCGGCCGGGCCCGCCGCCACTCTTACCGAGCCCCAGCACCGGGATGCTGCGGCCGCTGGCGAGCGGCACTGTGGGGCCGGCTCTGGCCTGGGCCTGCCCGCCGCCGCCATTGGCCGCGGAACTACAGCTCCCGGCGGCCCCTGCGCCCGCGCCGCGGACAGCCGGGAGCCGGGCGGGAGGCGGGAGCGCGGAGGGGGCGGCCGGGACACGAGGAGGTGGAGTGGAGTGCGAGGTGGGGGCCGGGATACGAGGAGGTGGGGGCCGGATACGAGAAGGTGGGGGGCCGGGATACGAGAGGTGGCGAGCTGGGCCACGAGGAGGTGGGAGCTGGGCCGTCCCCCTGCCCATGGGGCCGGGTCCCGACGGGCCATGGAGTGCCGCGGCTGATCCCTGTTCCCTTTGCCTCCCGTGGCAGGTGGCGGCTCTGCCCGGCCCCCCGAACATGCTGTACCTGGTCGGGCTGGGCCTGGGCGATGCCAAGGACATCACGGTGAAGGGGCTGGAGGCGGTGAGGCGGTGCCGCAGGGTGTACCTGGAGGCCTACACGTCCGTGCTCACGGTGGGCAAGGAAGCGCTGGTAGGTCCGGCCACGGGGCCCGAGGCCTCTCGGACCGCGGGGCGAGGCGGGCGCTGGGGCTGGGGGCTCAGCGGGGAGGAAGAGGTACGTGACCTTCACACACTGCGTTTTATAGGAGATGTTGCTTTGCTACCTTGCGAGAAGACTGCAGCAAAAATAAAATGTTCCTTCCTTCAACTCTTTGTGCTGGTTTTCATCACAAATTCTCCCAATGTGTGCAGATCGTGGAGAACGTGGTTAGAAAAACGTCTGATCTGTTTAAAACAAAAAAAGCCCAAAAGACATACCAGAATAAAACACGTTTTGAAGCCCTGGGCCTCAATATCAGCCTGAGGCGTTGTGGCTTGCCTGCTGGGAATAACAAGTTGACTATCTTACGTTTCCATGTTTCCACGTGGGCCAAGCTGTCTCACCAGGTTGAGACTCCCAGAACAGGTACAGTTCAGTCAGAGATGGGCTGTTGAACAACATGGAGATAAACAAACCTTACAGAAGACAAAAGTAGTCAAATGTACAAATTGTAACTCTGATGGATTCATAGGTGGTCACAGAAAGATGAAGTTTAATGTCAAAATAATACCAACAAAAGACCATACCTGCCCACAAAAGAGGGATGTCTCCTCCCGGGAAGCTGTGCAGTACTGTACAGAGATGCTGTTTGGGTCTTGGGTGCTGTATAGCCATAATGTACCTGTATGCATACCTGTATATACATACAGCATGTGAGAGTTTTTGCTTGTAGTCAGCATTACATGGTTTCTGGATACAAGGTAGGCTAGAATATTTGAGGCCGTCTCTGGTTTATCTGCTGTATTTTGGAATGAAGATATGCTGTGTGTTTTTATGTTTCTTTTCAGTACACTGAAGCAATCTAAATTGTAGTCAGTCCGTTAAAACAAAATGTTCTTTGTTGTTTGATAGTTGGAAAATTGCTAAATGGAAAAGATTACTTGGGTATTTTTACTTCACAAAATTTGCATTTTCTCTCTCTCAAAAAAAAAAAAAGAATTCCTAGCCATCGGAAAATAAAACACTGAATAATGGAGAAATGTTGAATATTTTGGTGTGGTTATTTTGCTGGTTTTTGGGGGCTTTTGTTACGTTTTTTTATTCTTTTAAGTCTTTTGCAAACCTTGAAGTCCCAAGGAAAAAGTGATCAATAAAAACAAAGTAAAAGATACCTTATCTAAAACCACCTAAGAGGAAATACAGGAATTAATCACCAAGTGTTTATAATACAGCCCAGTTTGCAGACAAGTGACAATGCTGGATGGTTTATTTAGTGATCTGAAGGTCAATCTCTCCTAAGCAGCATGAAAAGTTATGGGAAAGCTCTCAAAAAGTAAAGAACATATCCTTTCCTGCAGAAATTTTCTGGAAATCCTTCTATACTGATGCTTTTAAAATCAGGCCTCAAAATTCAAGTGACATGACTTGCTTAGTTTATCCTGTTGGCCTAAAATATGTATTTGAAGCTATTTGATGTTGACCATCTAAATTGGCCCTTAGTTTGGTGAAAGAACTGTGTGGACCCAGTGGCCTCCCAGTGAGTCTACATTGCCAGGAGGGTGCTTTCTATATATTCTCTAATTAGCATGCTTTGATTAGCATTGTGGAGTAGTCTCAAAGCATGCAAATAGATTCCCTTGGATGAAAACAAACAAAGGTGTGCTCCTGGGACTGCACCCAATATGTTCTGTAGTGTGCATTTGTTTACAGCATTGGACTATAGTCAGCCTGGTGCAATGATAAGCCCACCCAAGTGGATGTGGTGTTACCGAGGGCTTTGCTTTATAGAGTCCCATACCTAGTACTCTGGCTACGGGATGGATTTTTTTATGGAAGCACTGCTCCACTTCTGTACAAGTATGATGGTTCTCTCATCAATTCACTGTCCTTTGTGGGCACAGTCACAGAAGTCATAAAAATTTCTTTCTGGGCCATAAATGACTTAATAGTTTTATCAATTCTTTATTTATATTGGTTAATATTCACAATTCCACCCAAATTTTCTGTATACTACTTAGAACAAAACCACCTTTTCTGGTCTTTACCTTGGAAAATATACCTTAAAATGTAAAGAGGATGTGAAATGCACGGTGACACATGACTTAGAGACAGATGCGTTCAGTGTGGTCAGACAATATGTTCTAGAACTAACTGAAGTTTCATTACATATGTGAAGTCAATTTGGGAAATAAAGGCACTTAAAACATACAGAGAGACACAATGATTACTGAGCTGCTGAGGAAAAGTGAAGGAAATGAGCAAATGCATCTTCACCTGTATACATGGTAAAGTATTTCTTAAAGAGAACTCTGAAGGCGAAGGATTAATATGAAATCATTCCTTAGATGTGGTTTGTTTAAATGTTCTAAGGAAAAATCTGAAAAAACAGGTTGTGGTATAGCTAGTGTGGTGTTTGTATCTGGTTTGACGTCAGAATTATAACTAAGCTAAGCAGTTAGGCTCAGACTGTGAGGGGAGATGCCTGACAGTACAACGGCCAGTTAAATTAACTGTACCAAGAGCCCAGCCAGGTACCTTCAGAATGCAGGTGTGACTGAGCTACTTGTGGGGCAGCTTCTCAGCTGACACAGAAGACATAAAAAAAAGAAGTCAGTATCAGAATAAAGTGTTTGACTGATTTTTATCAGCTCAGGAGCTGCTTTATGGGAAGCTCAGGCATTCTGCCAAGTTGGGGTGAGGTTCTCCAAGACCTGGGGCAGACTACTGGGGAGAATATTAAAGTTAGCTATTCCAGTGTCCATTATCCGTGTTCCTGAGTGAGCACCCAGAGAGATACAAAACCACTCCTAACTGTAAGATTCTGATGCTTAATATTAATTTCAATTTCTAGGAAGAGTTTTATGGGAAAGAATTGATTTTGGCCGACCGAGAAATGGTGGAGCAAGAAGCAGATACCCTTTTAAAAGAAGCTGATGTTTGTGATGTCGCTTTTCTTGTAGTTGGGGATCCTTTTGGGTAAGATAAAGCAACTTTTGAATTATTGCTCTAGCTTGATAACTCTTTTTTTCAATAGGAAGAAGCCAACTCCGTAACTGTAATTCTTTATGAAGAAGCTGATTTTCAGACCAGAAGCACTTTTTTATGTCTGCATACCCTTTATTGTATTGCAAATATACATGCAGTTGCCTACACTTTATCTTGCTTTGGAGTTTTCTTGCCCAGATGTTTCTTATAGATAGGAATGTGGATACATGAATCTTTCCTTCAGCACACACTTATAATTTCATTCATTATAATTTTATTCTCTATTAATTTACAATTAATATTTTGTTTCATGTTTTGTTTGCTAACAGAAGAAATTTTAGGATATCCCATAATTAAGAAATGTGCTGTTTTGGAGGAGTATTCTTTTAGTTTCTGTTTGTACTTATAAATTGCAGCTTTTATGCTCAGTTGTTTTAGAATGAATACAGATTATTGGTTGTACAGTGGTTCTGCTTTGATATAGGCCAGTTTTTTAAATCACTTATGTCGTTATACATGTCTTCTCATGTTGGTCTATTAAGCCTTTTGTTTCCACTTTTTATTCCTGCTGGGAAGTATAGTCTTTTTCTATCACCAGAAGGATCTCCTTCTGTCTCTTTGGTCAGGCATCATCAATCTGTGTTGTCAAGCCATACAGAAGAGCTTTTAGTTTCCAGCTGGTGATTCAAGATTTATACCACAGTGTTAAGGGGCACAGGAAAAATCAAATCACTAAGCACCTTATTTGTGAGTGAAAAAATAGAGAGTTTATGAAAAAGAGGAGCGGTGTGCACATCTGTCAAAAGCAGATAATTTATGTAAATACAGGTTGAAGGGAATTGGCAAGAGAATATTATATTAAGCTAGTTATTATGGGCAGATGATCCTGTATTTCAGAAATATTAATTATACTTGCAGTGCATGTTTACACTGAAATTAGGATTCATGTAGAGTGTAGAGCTACATTACCTGTACCCTTGTAAGCAGTATTTTGAGCTGTCTCAGTTATCAATAGTTTCAGTGTCAAAATACTTCAGTTCTGGTTAATGAACTACATACTTGTAGAAAACTACCTTTTTTTGAGTGAGTTGCTTCTCTCTAAAGGTTTATGTTCTTAGCTTTTAATAGTGCAGCTAGAACTGCTCCTGTGCCCACATAGAGCCCTAAGGATTTAGGGGTTTGTGAGGTTACTAGGAAAGAGTACTGAAGGTTTCTGTCCTAAGAGAAGCCACAGGGGAGGAAAGGATGATAAAAGTCATGTGACTGCAGCTGATCATAGAGTTTCCAGTCTCTTTGCAGGTAAGAAGAGTACTTGGCAGCCTTAGGAAATCTCAAGTGGTGGTGGTTAATGGCTAAAGCAATAAAGCAAGCTGTGCCCCCTCATCCTCCTCACTGTGTTCACTGCAAGTTTTTATCTGCGTGTGTGGTAACAGCTCTGGATGTGCTTGCAGGAACCTGGCAATTTCTGTGGAACAGTGGAAAGCCCACCACACTAAGCTGGTGTTAATATTTGTATTATTACTATCCATAAAACTTAAAATCTGTATCAGTGACAGAAAATAATACTATAGTTTTGGGTACAGAGGTCTGACTCTGTGAAGCCTTTGCTGGCATTAGCTGAGTGCTCATGAGGGCACTTCTGCTTTTAGCTACAGTCATTATAGATAGATCTACTGGGAAAAAATAGTGGCTGGAGCAAATTTTAGTGAATAAAGCCAGCTGATCCCTTGGTCAGTATTAGCATAACCACAAAATCCTGCAGTGCTCCTCGCCCTTTGCATGGGAAGGGAATAACATAAGGCTGTAAAACTTCTTCTCTTAGATCAGACATTCTTAAATCACCTTTGCTTATGGAAGTCAGGAGCAATGTTTG